GTTGTTTGATTAATGAGGTATGCTAATGCAGTAGAAAAACGACAACAACTGCTGGACAGTTCAATCATACATTATTATTTTTTAATTTCTGTCTGAGAAATAAGATTAATCCCAGATTTTATATCATGCCTTCACAAAATCTAAACATCATATTTTTGGGGGACAGGTATGACACTGGAACTGTTAAGAGCTCACGCCAGAGGCATGGGGCCATCACTCGCCTTCTGCCATTGGCGATAAAAGTGTACTACAATAATGTACAAACGGGCCGCCGCAAGGGTTTCAATAAAAGCCGGTTACCGGCGGTTTACTGCCGCCTGTCATGCCTCTTTCAGCCGTCTATTCACAGTTTGTAATTCTTAGTCTCTCTTCTACTAGAACTAAACTAATAAGTAATGCAAGAAAGCAACGGAAGAATTCTAGAACGGAAGACAACGTCAAAAAAAACACTCTTTCCAACCTTGAAATACAGGCTACAACAACACGCCTTTTGATGCCCAGAATGCTGGAAATTGCATTTCCGAGCTTCTAGATTTCAAATTTTTCTGGGGGGGCATGCCCCCAGACCCCCCTAGTTGGAAGGGGCCTTGCGGCCCCTTCTAAATCACCGACATCTGTACAACCCCCCCTTTCAGAAAATCCTGGATCCGCCCCTGGTGTAGTATGAATTTTGGACAGTGATACCGAATTCGTTGTCAATACATGAGTGGAACTACCTTCTGCTCTGCAAAAAATAAAAATTCTCGCATTTTTATCTGTGCTTTGCAGTCAAACTTCCGTGTGTCTTGAACGAGAAATCTTCTTTTCTTGAAAACAAAATCTTTGTGACCAGCCTTCTGTAGAAGATAAGTATATCAGCTAAGATGAGTGATTGTGTTTCTCAAGCTAATTTTTGGAATGTGAAGAAACAGAAGTGTCATTGCGTGATGCCTTGAAAGATAAGGAGCCGACATACCACAGCTTGATAGAAATCAAAAAGCGTAGAATTGCGTTTATTTTCTCTTTTGTCAGCAGCATACGTCAGTGGAAGGGTTTTATAATTGGTAAGTTCTAAACCATCTTCAATTTAGCCGAGATTGAAGTGTTATCGCGTTTGTCGTAAAAGTATTCTGAGATCAATGTCATATGACCCAGTAACATGTGTATCTGACCTTCCGGGTTAGCAAGCCATAGGTGACAGTTGTAACACCAATGTCGCGGATGAGAAAAATATGTGTACGTACGCATACAGTGCAATATTTCATTTACCTCTTCTGCATCTTTTTGTTTCCTTTTCTCTCCAGCTTTTCTATCTTTGCCGTGCTGACAATCGAACACTTTCCCAAAATTATGAAAGGCACACCATTAGAAGTAATTTTTGCACCTTTAATATCTCGTGGATCTTTCCATAGTATTTTGTGACTTCTGTTCGAGTGATCTGTTGTTAAATTGTGATGGAAGATAGGATCAGTAGAGCAAGGACGAGAGTGATACAAGCTAGCACGACGTAACGCTTTCAACTGATATATCGGCATGCCAGTGTTTCTGAAACCTTCGTCAACCTTAAAGCAAGAAAACTTCGTCGTCGATCTGTTTCGAACTCCGCAATGAGTTTATACGCCTCGTGAACAGAATTTACGTATCCAAAATTATCCGCATCTCTACCATCAGGCAAAGGTTCACCTTTAAAATTCCCGCCATATTGTTTCTGTTTGTTCTTCGGGTGTTCGGCTATGTCTCCTCGCGGATTTCCGAGAATCTTCGGTTATGTTTGGCAAGTTATTAAATGTTCCACCTCGGTCCCTCTCAACCGAGGTGGTTTTGGTGGATGGAATCTAATGCTGACCTATAATAACAGGCCCGTAACCAGGATTTTATGTAGGGGGTGCTAACGAGGCAAAAGTGGACCAAACTACCGAAATGTATTTTTTATTGTCTGATCCGTTCATGATTTAGGAAAGTAGCAATACATGAGAAATTATAACGGCAAAGTACACGGTAGAAACTGAATATTACATTTGTCGAATACAACTGTTTGAATTAAGTTACAAAGGACTAATTTTACGATTTAAAATGATACATCAAAATACTACGGAATTAATCCCTCAGAATAGTCCGAGCTCCAGCCTCCGTGGGTGTTTGGTGGCAAACAGATTT